CCTGCTCTTTGAAGTATTAGTATTTTCAGAGTGAATTAAACTACTTTTAATGTCACAATGACGAGCAAAGCTCTCCTGTTCTGAATTACTCCTTTCATTCTGAAATGCCTTCTCTGATGTAAAAGAGGAGGAGATTCTTCCAGAATTGGAAAAGAAATCCAACATCTCTGTATATGCCTTCTGTCTCTTAGGGTCTCTTACTCCTGTGTTTTCTCCACACAGCTCAGAAGCACAAGTGCCATCTTTAGACAGAAATGGAAAGCCATAGTGTGGCTGCCACTGTTGACTCTTCTGTTAAAAATTTCAAAAGAAGAAAATAAAACATCTCTGTAAAATCTTCTGATCTGAACATTTCTTAAATTGAGGATTGATTTTGATTAGATTTGCAGAATCATTCAAAATTGACACAAACTCTCGAAATTAGAGAGAGAAAATCCAACAGAAATGATTGAAGTCTGATTCAGGAATGGTTGATCTTCCCAGCCCACTGCTGCTTTTTCTTTGTACAGTATCCATTTCGCTTGGTTTACGTTTGCTTTACTCAAAAACCACAGAAAAGTCAAAGGGCGATGCACAAATGTATAAGCCCTTTAGTATTCTCTCACACATACACAAAAAAGTTATCCTATACTAACCAAGAGAGTGCAAAAAGTACAACACAGCTTAAAAAGACAGTGTAAAAGTCTAAAAGAGTCCAAATTTGAGGTGTTTCAGCCCTCCTACTGTTGAGGTTTAAATCCATAAAGGTATTTAGGATTTACTCACCAAGACAAGTAAACAACTGTGTTTCAAGCAATAGTCAGGCAACCAAATACAGTGGGGAGGGGTCTAAGCCTCAGTTTAAAAGTACATAAATCCATGTATGAATTGTTCATGTCATAGGCAAATTTGCCTGGTTCTTCTTGCTTATATTATAGACACTTAGAGTAGTTCATTGTGAACCAAAACTGAGATGTGTACTCTGTATTCAGACAATCTTTCCTCATTATATGTTTTTCTCCTCTAAAAGTCTGGAAAAGGATACTGTTCCAAATTAAGAATTATGGCAAAACAAGGAAGAAAGCTCCACAATAACACCACACCTTTCAAATAAGGAAAAAACTACGTCCAATCTGAAAAAAAATCACTTCCAGCTGGCAAAATGCACTGCAGTCTCCGTTAGCCATAAATCTTGCTGTGAATTCAAAATTCTAATTATGCAGCTAAACATTAAGAAATTTAATTACAGGGCATGCCATAATTTAAGACAACCATTTCATTCTGACAAATTATGACCTACCTCATACTTCAGCTTGCGTTGAACAGTGCCGTTATTAAGCCTCTCATTATCCTAAGAACAAAAAAGGTACAGGTGATTATTTCAAAAAGGGCCTTTCTGCCTAAGTTCATTTAAAATCATTCAGAGGAAGAGACATTCTTTTTAATAGCCAAAAATAATAATTTTCTTATTGATATTTATTAAACCACTGGCTTAGAAGTCATTCAAGTCTCTGGATCAATTAGATCATCAGTTCTTAAAAAGGCAATTCCATCCAGAAGTAGGTCAATTTTTATCAACTTTATTTTTCTGACATAAAATGAAGATTTTCATTTTATCACTGAACTTCTTATTGCCATTTACATACTCTTCCCTGCCCAAAACCCTAGAATGCAACTTAAAACAGCCACTGGAAATAAAGAGATTATCAAAATCTAAAACCTGATATCCCTGATTGACTGTTTACTTTTTTAAAAATTAAAACTAAGTAAACATAAGAAAACATGAAAATTATTGAACAACATAACTAAACCAATGGTTACACACTGAAGGTCAGGATTTCCCACCCATTTCTGCTCACCTTTAAACTTTCTGCAGACCAGCTCATGCCAATATCATTATCCTCAGCTCTATGATGAATATTCTGGAGTCTTCTCTGCACTTCTTGTTCAATAAAGGCATTTATCCTTAAAGATACAGAAGAGAGTGTGCATGTGTGTAAAGCAGTGTATTTTTAGATAAAAATCAAGACAGAATAAAGGGCTCTTTGAAATGCTTCTAACCCTAAGTACTGCACAACTCTTAATCAGCAGGCTTAGTGTTAGACTAGTTTTATCCCTCCTTAAGGAACATGGGCTTTTGAGCATATGTTCATTTAACAGGCAAAGGTTAACAATTTCTTATAATTAGACAAATTAAAGGGCCACAGGTTAAGCCACTGCTATGTGTACAGCTCTACATACAAATGGAAGTGAGGGGGAAGTGCAATGAAGGAGGAGAAGGCTGGAAGTGCATCTTCAATAACTTAACAGTTTACTTTTATCACTGCTGGGGTATCAACAACTTGGGCGAACAAAGGTTTGGTCTTCAAGCAGAAGGAATACTCCAAGAGTTGATATTAACAATTGCATGTTTAAGTGTTACAAGAACAGTGATGAAATAGGTTTTATTGGTACCAGGCAGCTGCCTCATTAAAAAAAGGTTTAAGACAATTTCATTTACTTTGTTGCATTAAATGTATATAAAACAAAACCACAGAGACAAGTAACTGTAAACACTGAAACAATTTAAATAGATTTTAGCCTACTGTTTTCCAACCCTCTATTCTAAAACAAACTGCACAAGAGCAACAGATTAGGCTGTTGGTTATTTATAGTAGAATTCAGCACATAAATTTTATTTCCACACTAGTCTTGAAGTACAATTACAGTATTTAAATAAAATCCAACCCTGCTAGAACAATCTTTCAAAATATTTCTTTTCTAAAGCTACTGTTTGCATTCCTACTAAAAAATTGAAGGAATGAAGGTTACCTACCTATCATCAACCAGTGGAACAGCAGGTGGCTGTGGCTTTGTTGGGGTGATAGGGGAAGTGCTATGGGAGAGTCTCTCTTCTAATGTTCCATAGTTTCCTTTCAGAGCACCATCTCCCTCGTATATTTCTTGCTTCAGCTGTTGAATTTCCTGGTCCAGGCTATAAAGAGATCTTAACATGTAATTTGCTTTGGTTTAGAGGTGATTCCCATAGTTCTTATGTGAAATATTGTACTTATATAAGTATACATAGAATCATAGCACCATTAAGGCTGGAAAAGATCTTTAAGACTATCAAGTCCAATTGCCAGCCCAGCACCACCACCATGCTCACCCCTAAACCACGACCTCAAGTGCCATATCCACATGTTTTTGAGCATTTCCAGGGACTGAAACTCCATCACTTCCCTGGACAGCCTGTTGCAATGCTTGACAACCCTTCCCATGAAAAAAGCTTTCCTAATATCCAATCTAAACCTCCCCTGGCACAACTTGAGGCTGTTTCCTCTCTTCCTGACACTTTTTACATGGGAGAAGAGACTGACATCCTCCTCGCTACGACCTCCTTTCAGGTAGTTGTAGAGAGTGATAAGGTCACCCCTGAGCCTCCTTTTCTCTAGGTTAACTGCTCCCTGCCCCTTCCACTCCCTCAGCTGCTCATCAGACATGTGCTGCAGACCCTTCACCAGCTTCACTGCCCTTCTCTGGACATGGTCCAGCACCCCAATGTCCTTTTGGAAGTGCAGGGGCCAAAACCAGACACAGTACTTGAGGTGCAGCCTCACCAGTGCCCAGTACAGAGGGACAATCACTTTCCTAGTCCTGCTGGCTGCTCTATTGATGATCCAAGCCAGGATGTCATTGGCCTTCTTAGCCACCTGGGCACACTGCTGGCTCATGTTCAGCCACTGTTGACCAACACTCTCAGGTCCTTTTCCCCTGGGCCACTTTCCAACCACTCTGCCCCCAGCCTGCAGCACTGCATGGGGTTGTTGCAATCTTACATGTATGTAAGATTGTAGGTATTAATATTGATGAAGACTAAAAAATGATTATTGTTCTTTAAGCATATTTAGATAGGAAAACAGAGACAGCTCAAAAACACGTTCTAACAGCAGATTTAAGGTGAAGAAAACAACTTCAATAAGTTCCAATGCAAAAGGTATATAACTCAGCACATCAAATATTAACACATAAGACCTAATCTATCTATTAGAATCACTTGAATAAATTTTCCTCTTTACAAAATTCTATTAATGATCTCAATTATCTTCCAGTGTGAAGTAAATGAAGAAATGGAGGGGAAAAAAATTAAAAACTAAAACTATAGCACTAATGATAAAAACCCCAAAGACAACCTAACACAACAATGTGGCAAAACATATCTATAAAAAAATTTTAAATTGTGTACTATAGATACAAATCCTATTTTCCAGTTATTCCATCTATATATATTTAAAAATTTACTTGCAAATTACAACACCTAGCACTTTTTTTACATATACACTTAATAAATAATCTTTTGAAACCTCCTTGCTTTCTTTAACAAATAAATTTCTTTCCAGCCAGATTTATGCACAGAATACAATATGTAAAATTGGGTACTGCATTTTTAACTGAAAATGCCTGAGGCATTTCCTATGAAACAAGAAGCACTTCTTGCAATATTTATCACTTAGGCAAATTAAACTATATTATAAAAAGCAATCTGAAGAACACCCTTTTCACTTGTAGCTTAGCTGAGATTAGATTAATAACATAGTAATAATCTTTCCCATTTTCATTAAAATTTTTGTCTTTAAAGGTAATTGTTTTCCTAGAGGTTACTTAAGAATCAAAGAATAAAAGAAGTTCTTGCAAAAACAGGGGAAACTATCAAAGCTGGGATTTTACCACTTCTCCTGCAAATGTATATATCTAAATTGAAGTACAATGATATAACTACTTTATTCTGTCCTGGGGGTTAAAAGAGAAAATTAAAGAGATGATGAATGCTGAGGCTTAGGCTGAATTGTTACTTCATTTTCAGAGTACTTTTTGCAGCACTGCCAGAAGCCATCTGTGTCTTTTGATTAGCAGCAAAACAATCTTGCGTCCTGAGGGGAAGTGGATGGGAGATGGCTGATGGATATAAGAGAGTTGTTTGCATCTATGGAAAATCAATTTACCCACAAAAATCAGAATTACATTAAAGGAATGAAGCTTACCTCTTGGTTTGTAAACATCCTACTATGAGAAGCTATCACTTTTATACCTATGAACTTAGCCAGCCCTGTGATGCATCCACAAACAAGCACAGTAAACTGCACCTTGCCATTTGTGAGTGACACATCCCATTGCCTCAAAGATGACTCTGAAGTTGCTTTATATTCATTCTATTGCCCCAAACCTCTGGCAGTAAAGAGAAAACGTGTATGCATTATTCCAGTATAAGTAAAGTTCAAATTATCATTTTGAGGGTCACCCCCGTAGGTGAAAGAATTTGAGCTTACGTATTGTTCAAACTGAAAAAAACACATTTTATCCAGTTACAATGGACTTGCACTCATCTAGCATTTCAAATAAATATTGTATTTAAACATTTTCAGAGAGTTAACACTGATCTGAACCAGGATCTAGATAGACAATAAGAAACACATATAATTCATATGCTTACTATGGCATCATAGACTGTGAAATGTAAACTCAAATATAAGAACAATAAGCGGCCTGAAACATTTAACATACTATCATGTAACTTTAGATATTTCTTCTGCTTCAACATTCACAAAAACATTCTGAGCTGAATTATTCAGGCCCATGGGCTGAAAGACTTCAAAGTTTCATTTAGCTTGTGCAAGAGGACTTTAAAGTAAACAACAAAAAAAAAAGCAAGAAAAAAGAATATATACCAAAAAAAATCTTTTCACATCCTTGGTATCTTTTCCAAACCTCAGTCTCCTAGCTGACAACATATTTTTTCACTTATCGCATAACCCAGCAATCTCTTCAGGGCTAACAAAGCTGTCTACTTCTCCAGTTGTTTATAGCTCACTTTAGCCAAGCAAGATGCTCAGTGCAGAAAATGAGACTTTATGCTCAAGACAATTATGAAAAATAATGGTAATATCTACTACAAAATGATAAATCAGTATTGAAAATACTTAACTAAAATCCAAGCAATACAGCTATAAATGCTGAAAAAGTGACCTCTACACAGTACATAGAAAGGAACTATTCTCTTCTGGTAATAGTTTAAAAGGAAAAGAATACAGAAGAGCTCTTCATTTTGGCTACAGGCAAGTTTCTCTTCTAGGGTGGTTTTTCTATATCTGTATGAAGGGTTTATGAAAGAAGATTCAAATAATTAGTGAAATATTAAAAAACCAAATGATAAATGCTACCTCAAGAAAAAAACACTTCATTGTTTCACTGATATTCACAGGTAATAAAGCTCTAGTAAAGCTCTAGCTTAGCAAATCAGATAGCACATTTAAAAATGGCAATTCTGCCCTTTTTTCATACTGCAGGGACTAAATGCATGAATCCTAGTGAATTTTTGCTCAGGCCAAAAGTAAAACAGAAGATTTCTTCCTCTTTTTCCACACACAAAGATCCTTCCCTACCTGAATCATTTTTCTCTGAGCCTCCCATATTTGGACTGAATGTTACACTACCAGGCATGTGTGCAACTGATGATCTTGCTTCCATACCTAAAAGGGTTTGTCACCACACAGGGCAGTATTAAAGCCTCTGTATATTTTCCAAAAAGCTTAAAAAGCATCCCCAAATTTTACATGGATATATGGCTAGTTTCATTTTATTCAGCCCTGAAAGCAGTAACTAAAAAAATTAACGTTATCCCTGCTTACTTTGAACACCAGAATTGCTCAGTGCATCACCAGTTGGAGAGACAGTTGGCAGTCTACTGTAACTATCAGTCTCCAGACCTTGAGCAAACACCTAACTTGTTACTAATAAAGAAACAAAATGCTATACAGAAATATTTTAAGAGAGAGGAGTTGTTAGATGGTACATGTTTTTGTAAGGGCAAAATATAAGGTTGGCTAAACTTCCTAAACAAGTAAATCAATTTAAGTACTGCGATGGCTAACGCAAATAATATCCTGCTGAGGACTGGGATAAGCATCTGAACACAACAGGAGTTAATGAGTGAGCGAGAATCCTTTAAAAAGCAACACAGAGTTTCAATTCCGGGTAAAGTACTTGAAACTCATGAAGAAACTCAAATGCTGCAACACAGAACAAGTTGCTCTCTCAACATCTAAGGTATGAAATGATTCACCTTTTCTGTGTGGGTTCTAGTAAATGGAAGCTACCACAACACTCACCGTTCTCGGTCTTGCTCAAGGGCTTTCTGCTCAGCTTCCAGACTCGCCTGCAGCCCTGCCTGTTCACTGCAGCTGTTGTTCAAGGTGGCCAGCTTCTGTTTCTGCTCTTCGATTTCAAAGTCTATCGTTGAACGACGCTGCAAAGCAGAATGTCTCCTTTCTAGCTTAGCAACAGCTTGCTCCAGTGCCTCTCTCTGCTGTTTTTCCCTTGATTCAAGGATTTCTTTTTCCTTTTTCCGAACCTTTTCTTCCTGACGAGCTACATTGGCTGTGAATTCAAAGGTTTCTTGAAGCTGCTGCAGCTGATTTGTGCTAGCTCTATACTGGGCAAGCTGCTCTTCCTTTTCTTCTATTTCTTTCTCTGTTTGATAGAGAGTGTTATCTAATCCTAACAAACCCCTATCAAGGACTTCAGAAGCTCTTTGTTTTTCTTCCAGCAGAGCTGGCAAATGATTACTCTTCAGGTACTCAAGCTGGCGTACTTTAGATTGGAGCCTGTACTCTGCTGGCTTTATCTTGTCAACTTCGTCAGCCTTGAGTATGGCATCCACAAAGTTTTCATCTCTCTTGAGCTTTGAATGTTCTTCATGTGCGAATTTTAAGTGCTCCAGAGCTCTTTCTTCATCTGCTATTTCTGTTTCTAGGTGATCCATTTGTTGAACTAAATCTTTTTCCAATATAGCCAACTGTTCCAGCTGTTTCCTTTTAAACTCTACAAAATCATGCTGCACTTTTTCTAGCTCTTCATGGTTTTCATCACCTTCAGATCGAGCTTCCTTGACTTTCAAAAGAGATTCTCTAATATCTTCAAGATCTCTCTTCTCTTCTTCAAGTCTTTGTACATCCCCTCTCTTCAGGAGCTCTATCATGACCTGCTTCTCTCGAAGCTGTTCCTCTAGATGAGCCACCAGTATCACCTGTTCTCTTTCTTGTTCTTCAAGTCTCTTTTTTTCTGATTCCAGCTTAACATACTGTTCATCTTTTTCCTTCTTAAGTTTTTCTAGTTCACGAAAAATCTGCATTTTCTCTGCTTTTTCATTATGATTAAGTTCTTGTAATCGATGCAACTCCTCTTTGACCCGGGCAAAAATTTCTTCCTGCTGCTTTTTCTTTTGAAGCTCTATCTCCTGTTGTTCCCGTAATCTTTCTTCTTCAAATTTTTCTTTTTCAGCCAGCAAATCTTTTAACCTGCTCTCAATGTGGACACTTCTCCGTTTCAGACTCTCCTCTTGCTTTCGAATTTGCAGCTGAACTATTTCTGTCTCTTTGCGCTGTGACTCTACTTCTTGCTGCATTCTTACAAGTTCTGCTTTGTCAGATCTTTGTTTTTCTTCCATCTCTTCTATTTGTTTCCTGTAGTAAAACATTTGCATGAAGCTAAAAAGGTTTGGACAAGGATTCTGCAGCATCTATAACTGGTTTGTTTGGGTTTTTTAATAGTTTTGTTTTGCCACAGTTCAGATCTTACATTGCTTGGAAGTGGCTCGATGCATGAGACAAATGGTAAAGAGATTTATACAGTCTATGTGACCATAAAAAGTTGTGGATATATAAAGTTTCAGGAAGATACGTTATACAGCACTTATATTAGTAGAAAATTAGACTGTATTAGTTCTGTCAAATCCAATAAAAATATTGATAAAAATCCATACACAGTGAAGAGTAAATATATATTCTTTTATGTATACATACATTCTCATATACAACAATTTGTACAAAAGGACTTGATTAGCAATTTGCCTCACCAAATTTAAGCCAACAGCTGAATTAAAACAATGTCTTCTCTTTAGGTGAACCCAACTGAGTTACTGATTGTAAGATTTAAGACAAATTATTATGTCCTGTGTAATCTCTCCTTTAAAGGGTCTAGTGCATTCCAAGGGGGGACAGACAGACCTGAAGGCCAACATTATCCCCATAATACTGCAAGTCGGTTGGCTATTTTGCAAAGTTGAAGTCAGATAAATTAGAGCACAAGCAAATCAATTTCAGTGCAATCTGAATGCAAATCTCATCAACATTACAAGAAGGATAAATATCAGTGATCCTATGTTACATCATTTGCTGAATACTATCTTTTAATGCTTCAGAGTCTCAGTTTTCTTCTGAGCATAGTCCAGCTTACAGTCCCACTATATAAAAAGCTCTTTCAAAACAAGCCATCCATAACTGAGATGGCAGAAAGGTTTTCAGCTTATGAATCTAATCCATGCTGAAATCTACAACAAGGCCAGAGCTATCACTTCCAAAATCTTAGCAGGTATGATGAACCAAAAGAGTTGGCTCAGTTTGCCAGCTGACAGCAATACTTTCTTCTGTGCTACAAACTGATGCCCAAATAATGTTCTGATCAGCATGGTTAGTATGCACATTCCAGACCACTGTTTTACTTCAGAGAGGCAGAGTGTAACATGAGTTTTTCCTTAGCACAATTCAATCCAAAGGCAACTAAACCATAAAAAATATCTGAATGAACAATGTAATTTGCTGTCTTTGAAAATAACAACACGAAAATTAAGAGCAAGGGTAATATGTTACATTTGTACAATCTATCCACTTCATACGTTTGTGTTTCAGAGTTTCTTTGCTAAAAATTAGCTGTAATTCAGCTACTCAGGATCCTTTGCTTATTGAGGAACACCATGATCCCAAATTAGTGATTTAAATGAGTCTGTAATGTATATATGGATGCACACACATAAATACCGCAAATAATAATGTTACCTTTTACTTTCCAATTTTTCAAGCTCCTCTCGTTGTTGTCTCTCAAATTCCAGCCTGATTTTAAAAAAAATACAGTAAAAAGGTTATTTCCCTAATATCACAAAAATAGGAAGATATCATGCAATACAGTATCTGTTTGGAAGATAATAATACAAATGAAGTTTTATAAAACTTCAGCCTACAAGAACAGAAAATATTTCCTTCATTACAGTTACAAATTAGATATCATGCTGCCTGACATGAGTATAAACAGAAAAATAAATTGATTTATGGGGAAAAAATATTGAAAAAGGAAAGTTAAACGAGACATATGAATTATTAGCATAGCCTCTGCGAGTTAACTACATGCAGACATGGCAATCAATATATAGAAATTTAATTTCTCTACCTTAGACAGATCGGTCCTTTTACAGGGAAAAGACTGCCATGGGAGGCAGAGGGAAACAGAGCGATCAATTGAGAGAGGAATTGACAGAAAAAACATATTAGCAGTACAGAATACTTTAAAATCAACAACAGTTTGTTTTATTAGAGGTTAAACTGGTTAGATTCATGGAACATTCATCACATTACAGCCCAGAAGTAAAATTTCAATAATTATTCTTTCTAAACACATTTTTCAAATGCCAATGCTAGTTAAAATGATACTCATCAACCTGTGGTTTATTAACTTCGTCACTTCTGAGAAGGGAAAGTGCTACAAAACTACTAGTGCATGATTGTAGTTCTGTCTTTTCCTTCCAAGAAAAACAAAAAATCCCCAACATTACCAGGATGCGGGTTAAAAAACCCCAAAGTGCAACATTCAAGCACTGAATACAATTCAAACCCATTTATTTAAAATATTTTGAGATTTTAATGGTTTTAGTTTGATAAGGTTCTGAATAATCATGGGAGACCATTTTATGACACTTTAAATATGAGTTTTTATTAGAGTTTCACAGAAGAATTTCTCTGACTGTACTTGCCTTTGGAAGTTTTATCTTTTATTTAAGGAATTTTTATACAACAAATATTAAAAAAGGCAGAGAGAACATATGTATGGACTAAATTATTCAACCAAATATACAAATATTCAGTTATTTCAGGGTTGTTACTGCTTAAGGATGTGCAGGTTAGTGAAATAGCCCATAAATATGAAAAAAAGGAAGACTACACCACGAATTAACTTCAAGTTTTTGACAAACTGCAGTTTCAGACATCATGACCACAATTATATAGAAATTGTTTTAAAAATAAGGTATTTTTAATATTTCTTTCTAAAAATCATAGAAATGCATATAACAAAAAGAAGTTGCCCTTAGAAATATGCAAAATGTACACCAATAATCCAACATTTATAAAGCTATTTTAATGAACTTTGATTCCTACATGCTCAAGAAGCATCTTTCTGATGGCTGCAATAGTTTACAAATTCCACATTCTGTTTTTCCCCTAGTTCTCACAAATTAAATTTAAAAAATGCTTTCTACAATCCCCAAGAGATTAGCCAATGTAGATTTGTACATACAGCTCCAGCCATTCAGAGCTTTCATGTCACTGCCTGACCAAAAGTTTCTTCACATTTGCATTAAACTAAGATGGGCACTATCTCAACATTACAGCACAAGGAGAAATGATGCTAACTT